GGTTTTTAAAACATATATGTATATATACACAAAATATATATTTATATATAACTTCTAATAACTAATGTAGTTTCATAAATTTGGGGGGTACTTAATATTTTTCAAGTATTAAAATAATAGAATTTGGGGGAAGAAACCCTAAACATAAATTTTAGGAAAAAAGTTAACATGAAAAGCCAGTGATGCTTTTTTAAACAATCCTGTCAGTCACTATTTTTGAGTAAGATAAGAGGAAAAGTATTATTTGTGTGTATTTCTTTCAAACAAGGAACAATGGAGAATTTCAAGAAAATTGCTGACATCAGAAACGTAATTTCACTTATTAATTATTTTCTAGCCTACTTTGCTTGTTACTTTTCAAATTAAAATGGAAGACGTGGAAGAAATGGAGACATTGCTCTCAAACACGAAAATGGTCATTGAGAAAGAACAGCAATGAAGCTACTAATAAATTGGGTTTTTTCCCCTACAAGTTACATTTTTTAGAAAGATTCTAGAGATAATTCATTTGAAGTGTTTTAAAATTTCCTAATACATTTTTCTGGTTCCACGTGATCCTTTTGCCCTGGTAAAATATGAAGAATGCTGACCCATGACCCTCTAAGCATCAATCACTCCACTCTAACCACTGCTCAGACCAATTCTGTGGATTCAAAAATCTTCATTGTTCATCTTGCTACTCATCATTTATTCATCAACTCATTAATAATACATAGTGATAAATTACAAATATCAAAGTTAATACTCTTCTGGCTGTCTTTTGATGCCTGTAAGTACCTAAATAAACAAATAAAAATTAAAGTTTAAGGAATTAAACTTTGATGAAAAAAGCCAAGGAAAATAACACCCTCTTAAAGACAAGTTTATTTATTTTTAGAACACAATGAAGCTAAATAACGTACTGAGTCAGAGGAGCTTTCATTACATTTTGTAAGCTTCCTATTTTTTGCTCGGTGTCTTCTTTTTTGTTGGTTTTTTAAATGAAAGCATTGAAACTTTGCATTGCAAAGCCACCCTAACATCTATTCTGTAATTATCTTTGTGGGGTTGAGTCATAAATTGAGCTAAACTTAAACCAAATGGTAATGCCTTGATACATTTTTATCAACTTTTTGGGGCCACAGACCATTTCTAAAATGCATCAGCCCGAATGAACTAAGGACACAGTGATCAACTGTAGATAAGTGAATCACAAGCAGTTTTCAAGACCAGGCAAGATAGTCAGATGAGGTGGTAAAGAGTTGAGACACTGCATTTTACATGGTAAACAGTAAAAAGAAAGAGTGGAGGAATGTGGTGAAAGCGTGGGCTTTGGAAGGAAGCACCAGACCTGGGTTTGAGTCTCAGTTGATCTTTCTGAGTCAGAATTCCCTTAACTGAAAAAGGGGAGTAGTTAACTCCTTCACATATGCGTAAATATCCTGTCTTATCACAATGACTAGCATATGATAGGTGTTTTAAAATACTGGCTCATATTAGAAATAAAGGAAAAAATATTAAACCAATTAATATTGAAACTAAAGCCAATTATCTTAGTTTCCAATCCATGTAAACCTTGTTTTCTAGGCTGTAGCAGCTGGTCAGGGAACAATTAAGAGGTAACTCTTTCAAAGATCATGATAACAGTCTCTGGTTTTTAGCTGCTTACAGTGGAATCCCCGAGCCTCCTTATCTCCCCCGGCAGGGTCCCTGGGTGGTCCTGTCTCTTCTTGGCAGCCAGTTAGGTTCCGCCGAGGTCCTGCCCTCTCCACACACACCTGGCCTCTGTGCTGCCGCCTGCTGCTCCTGCAGACAAGAACTGTGCTGCCTCCACTATTGCTGGTGTCGCTGGTCACTGCCAACCTCTAGATTTCCATTATGGGTGGCTGCTGCTATGGACTCCTTCACTAAACACTGCCATGCTGTCCCCATCGGTGATAAGACATTTACAATTTTTCCACAGAGATGCCCTCGGCTTCCATGGTGCTTTTGCTGTTTCAGTTCTTTCTTTTAAAAGTTCACGTCTCTTACAAACCAACATTTTGGTTCAAAGAATAAAAGGGAGACCCTATACTACATCCTTCCCGGCCCACCATGAAGCAGCATCCCAGGATACAACCAAGAGCCAGCAATGTCCCTGGTCTGAGGGTGGGGCAAGTGTCTGTGTTTTTTGGAAGGAGGGCTGAGGCCTCTGGGCATTGGGCCTGAGGGTTATGAGAGGCAGAAAAACACAGGACAGGGGCCAACTCTCATAGCTGAGGGTGTGTGAGGTGAGGGTGGTGAGATTCTCCTAGCAGAGGCCAAGATTTGGGGTTCCAGGCTTTTTTTCCTGTTGTTTTCTGGCTGTATTCCTTTCCCCAACTTGCCTACCATAGTCAGTGTTCAGGTAGGTTGCATATACTTAATACCTCTCTATAAAAGGGAATTTAGGAGTAGAGTTTACATGTGGTTAAGATATTTCACAAGTAGGGTTTATGTTACTTGGTTTGCTTTGCATAGGATTAAAAACCAGGATAACACTGTAGTTTCCATCTCTCTGGCCATACCAAAGTCCCTCGGATTTTTAAGTGTTAACAGCCCCTTCCACATACAACTATTCAGAAAATGCTGACTCTTTCTGGTCTACACTATCTTTATCCACTATTCCTTGTTCAAGCCACCATGTTTACTAACCCCCTTCCAATGTCCGGGAGAATAATAGTTTTTCCTGTTTAGTCCCCAGTTCCAAACCTCAAGCTTTTGGTCCTACCTCTACTCATAGTGGATTACATCCACCAAAAGCAGCTGAGTCCACAGATGCCACTCTGGGCTCAGTTCCACTTTGGTCCCTGATGTTGGCAGCAAGTACAAAGATCCCCATTTGGAGCTTAGCATTAACTCTCCCTATTGGACTGACCAGGAAGCAGTGCCCCTCCTCTTCCCTCCAGGCCCCTGAGTTGGTGTCTCGCTTCGTCCTATCCTAGTAATTGGACTCCTCACTAAGGTTCCAACTCCTGAGTCCATTTTCTTAACTGATCTGACTGGTAAAATTGGAAATCTTGCCTTGGTCCCTGTCTTAGTCCATTTTCTGTTGCATATAACAGAATACCTGAAACTAGGTGATTTGTAAAGAAATGAAATTTATTTCTTGCAGTTTCGGAGGCTGGGAAATCTAAGGTCTAGGTGAGGGCCTTCTTCCTTGTGGGGACTCTTAGCAAAGTCCTGAGGCAGCCCAGGGCACCACATGCAAGCAGCCAAGAGTCTGTTCACATGCTCTCTTCCTCTGCTTGTAATGCCACCAGTCTGCTCGCATGATAACCCATTTATCCATTAACCCATTAATACATGAATGAATTAATACATGCACGAGGCATAGCCCTCAGGATCCAATCACCTCTTAAAGGTCCTACCTTTCAAATACCATAGCCAGATTTCCCACCTTCCTAATACTGTTACAGTGGGGATTAAGTTTCAACATGAGATTTGGAGGTGACATTCAAACTATAGCAGTCCCTGTTCTGGAAACTTCAGAATATTCTAGACTCCTATTGGAAATTAACTTGGCCTACCAAATGTCTGGTGCCCTGCACTCAACAGTCAGACCTGCCAGGACTCTGGGGCACCCCTCCTAGGGCAGGATTCACTGTGCCATGGCTTGTGCACCTGGTGGGACCCTTGTTCCTCAACTTAGATCTGCATTGTATGTACTTCAGCATGACTGGATAACATTCTCATGCTTGTCCCTTGTGCTTTCTCTTACCTCAAAAAATCTCTGAGGTCAGCCCCTACAGCTAAGCACAATCTCCTGAGCATCTATATACCTCTCACGGGAAGGGACAGTGCCACTCCAGCCCCATGTTTTAGAAGCCCATCTGCCATATCTTATGAATTAACCCTGTGATAGTCTCCTCTCCCTGCTCGGATATTATCTTCCTTCCAGACCCGTGTATGTCTTTACAAAATTCATCTGCATTTTGAAATCAATTCTTAACAACTTCTACAGTATGTTAAAAATATTTGATTCCATATTTTGTCACTGCTAGCTTTACATTTATATTTTAGGATACAGAACCTCAGGAAAATTTGCTCTCTGGGGTCTACGAAAAAGAATAGATTTCAACCCCCAGCCTCTTACAGAATTCCACTGCACAGGGAAGCATTAGCCTGCACTGTATTTGCAGCTCATATATATCTACTGGCAGCACTCTTCCACTTGTGCTATTATTTTCTCTCTTTTTGTTCATTTTACTGAGCTGTCCTGTGATCTATTTCTACATTTATGCTATCCATTTTAGAATGTAAATTCTCACAGATTGGGTCTATGTTCAAGGTATATTCTGTAAAGTACCTACCACAATGACATTTGCACTTAGATTTTTTTTTTAACTGAATTTTCCTTAAAACGATTACCCTAAAATTAAAGTGGGGAGGCAAATTAAAGGTATTATTAGCTACTTGTGGATCAGTATTTTACTTTATGTAAAACTGTAAAGATAATGGTTATAAAACTGCTTTGTAAAATATTATCCAAGGTATTATTACAGTTATTCCTGTAGTATGGCATTTTCATAGAAGTGCCAGTTAAAATAAAAAGGTATACTATTTCCTTTGTAGCTATTTATTTTCTTTATCCTGTAATAGCTGTAAATTTCTAGAATGATAGTCATAGAATTGCACACCTAAAAGAAACTTTAAAGCTCTTATCCATTTCTTTGCCTTTAGTCAGAGCTGCCCTTAAACCTATTCAGACAGAAAATGAATGTTTTCCTGATTATAAACACTACATACATTTTTAAAAAGAAGTTCCATATCTTCTCTTCATCAATATCAAATACTTCTGGTTTAACAATACAAATACTCAGTAATCAAGGGCAAAACAAAACAACAAAGAAAAACTATATTTCTTTTTCTGGTACTTAGCATAAAATGTGTTCACTGTGATTTGATATTATTGCTGTTAGTGATGGGTTTTCTGTCCTTTTTTACCCTAATTGCTTCTTCCTGCAACCAGGACATTTAGAAAATAATACCATTAGACTACGCCTTGTCCAGGTCCTTGTGATTTTACGTACAGCTGTCTCCAGACTCCAGCCACCGCTTCAGCTCACCATGGATCCCAACTGCTCCTGCGCCACCGGTGGCTCCTGCACCTGAGCCGGCTCCTGCAAATGCAAAGACTGCAAATGCATGTCCTGCAAGAAGAGCTGCTGCTCCTGCTGTCCCATAGGTTGTGCCAAGTGCACCCAGGGCTGCGTCTGCAAAGGGGCATCGGAGAAGTGCAGCTGCTGTGCTTGATGTGGGAGAGCCCTGCTCCCAGATGTAAATAGAGCGACATGGACAAACCTGGATTTTTTTTTTTTTTTTCTAGTACAACCCTGACCTGTTTGCTACATTCCTTTTTCTATGAAATATGTGAATAACAATAAAAGTTGTTGGGAAAAAAAAAGAAAATAATACCATTAGAAAGTGTTCAGAATAACATTAACAATAATTTTATTTTAGTTTAGTTAGTTAGTTAGTTTTTTATTTTATTTTATTTTTTACATTCTATGATGTTGTGGAGCAGTTGGTGAGGAGGGAGAGAGGGGAAAGGGAAGAGAGAGAGGATAGGAGCAGGCAGGCGGGGTGTGGTCGAGGTCCGTAGCACCCCTCATTCCGGCAGGGGAGCCCTGGGCACTTCCAGTGGTGGCTCGGGAGTCATCATCATCAACAAGAATTTTAAAGAAAAAAAAAGTCCAAACCAATACAGTTGCATTTTCCACTTAACTCTCCTATAGTTACTAATACATGCACTGATTTAGAAAAAATTTGTACTCAGCTTTTTTCGTATAAGATCACATCTTGAACATTTTAATATTCTGATATGATACTGATATTTTTCTTTTTAACAAATTCATAATATTTTATTAAGTGAATATAACATAGTTTATTTTTCTATTATTATGTAATGAGACAATAAACATGTCTGGGCACACGGTTTTCTCCAATTGAAATAGTATCTTAATCTAAATTTCCAAAAATGAACATTTTCAGGACTTGATCTACAATTTCAAATTAGGTTTCCAAGTGATTCTCCTGATTTCTGTACCATCAGCCATGCATGAGTACTCTAGCCCTGAATGCTACAGTGATTTAAATTGGCACTAAGTTTGGAATAGGTGTCTTTGATGTAATTAATCTTTTGGGAACCAAATAAAGGGAGAAAAAATTCACCTCAACTGCTGCACACATTAGATGGTAGAAAACTCAGATTAATTTCAGATTATTGGGGAATGATCTAAAATCTTATGTCAGATTATCAGTTTTCAGATACAGTATATCACAAGGGCAGTCAGGAAAGGAGAACGACTGTTCCTTGCCTGATACTCCGCCATCTACAACCCTTGCTCTAGAGGCCCTTTGATAAATATAAAAACTGAACATTTTAAAGATAATTCTCTCTTTTCTGATTTGATTGTATTTCTCCTTTGCTGAAAAACTTTTCAGTGGCTCCAATTGTCCATAGATAAATTCCAAAACCTGCTTTGGGTCTGAGGCAATAGAAAGGATGCATGAAACAGCAGTGCCCTGGAAGGGACACAGGCCACACACTCAGAAGACCTGGAGGATTCAAGTACCATCCCTGTGCTAATGCTTTTTTTTTTTTTTTTTTTCCTTTTTGTGACCAGAAAGGGGATTGCAACCCTTGGCTTGGTGTCACCCACACCGTGCTCAGCCAGTGAGCTGAGCCATCCCTATATAGGATCCGAACCCGCGGTGGGAGCGCCGCTATGCTCCCAGCGCTGCACTCTCCCGAGTGAGCCATGGGGTCTGCCCCCTGTGCTAATGCTTAACCTTCCAGTTTGCTTAACTGTGCAGTGAGAATAACAGTATCTACGTTACAAGGCTGCTTAGAAGATTAGATGGGAGTTCATTTGAAAGGGCCCAGCATAGAATGAAGGGCCTCCTTAATGTGAATTCCTTTCTCTCTTCCTCTGCAGTCTGGACTCTACCTTAGTTACCCCACCAGCCATGGGTTCTCACCTCCACCTGCTGCTTTCTGTTTCTGTACTTCTGCTCATTCTGTTCTCCCCAACAATTCTCATTCTTCACATCTCCAAAATCCTATCAAAGATCTAAGTAGGAAGCCTTTCCAGGTTGATCTCCCCAACAGAAATGGATCTCTCCCGTGGGCCGCCAGCTCTCTTCTAGCATTCTCTGTAGTTTGCTGTATGCAATAGCCATGAACTTTGGAAATGCAGCCCACATCTCAAGGTTCTTTGTATCCCTACATCACTCTTAGCACGATACCCAGCACAAAATAAATAACTGTTTACTGTTAGTTTTATTTAATTCTATCCTATTATATTCCATGCTTTTTTCTCTTGCTTTCCTTCCTCTGCCTTTATTCTTTCTATTTCACATGCAGTGACATTCCATGTTGAGCACATCCACCATGAACAATAGAGATGGGAGGCTGTGAACTTCCCCTAACCTCCAAATAGGCACACAAAAATCCCAATAAGTAAATGAAATGGCAGTTTTAAGGAAAGGGGGGAGGAGAACTAGCCTGTCAAAGAAGCAGCTTTTGCATGTCTAAATCTGTCTGTTTTGGGACGTAAGCCAAAGTCAGAGGTCCAAGACTATTCCAATTCTATTGCATTCCATTTATTATTTATATAGTGCATATTGCTGTAGTCTCTAAGCACTTTCAAATGAAATATAACATACCTTTGGGAGCAAAAAAGGAAATGAGGAAGGGGAAGAGGGGGAGGTGTGGGAACATCGGTTATCTTTGTGAATGCAGTAAGGTCTGAAGCGGAGACAGCCTCCTCCGTCTGACACAGGTGTGAATAACGTATTGTTCAATATCAGTGGCATAAATTTACATTGTGAGCTGGAAGCCAAGCTTTGCAGAAAAAGCTTTCTTTATCCTTTGCTTGAAAAACACAGTCCTCAGGGGGGAAGGACACCCTGCTTCTCTGGTGCCCACCCGGAAATTTAAAACCCAATCAAAACAACTGATACGAATGCTCACCATGTAAACCTCACACTCCAAGCTTTTTTTTTTTTTTTTTTGGTTCCTCGTGGCAACAGAGAGTACAATTGCTAAAGCTTCTGGGTGCTGAGTTTTACCCATATGGTTCAGTTTCCTATGTCATTTGTCAAAAGGGAGAGGAGAAGGGAGGAGTCAGGTGGTGTCCCATGACACTTACGGATTGCCCTGCATTGTGTCCTGGCAACACCACCGGTACGTGTACAGTAGGGGTTCAATACCTGCTTTTCTTCTAATGATTTCTTCAGGGAGTTCCTTATAATGTGTTTATCATGTAAGGAGGACTAAGGAAGCCTCAGGATCCTTCCAGGAATAGAAAAGCATCCAAGTGCTTTGACACTAGCCTCCAGTATTTCTGATGGCTTTAAAGGTGGTCTTTAGGTAAACTCTCCTTTCAGAGGAGGGCAGGTGGGGAGGCTTTGATAACCTTTTCAGTCATGCAGATTTCCTTGTGGAAGCCTTGGACCAGGGGAGTAAGTTAAATACAGCTGGCTCAGCCTGGGGTGCTCCATATTGTCTTTAATGACTAAAAGTGCTGACTCCAGTGGGAGCAGAGCACACACTGTGGAGATGATTATGGTTTGAAGCATTTTCTGTGTGAGTGGTGAGGGCAGGGTGGGAGGGGTTAGGGACTAAGGCCATGAAAGATGCCATCTCCTACAGAGGAGAGGCCAGAGGGGATCAGAGAGTCAGCATCTCAGCTGGAGGACAGAGGCAGGTGGGAGGGGCTCTGGGAAGGGGTGGGCCACTGTCCCTCAGCTTTTTTTTTTTTTTTTTTTAACAAATCTTTTAAAACTTAAGTCTCAAGTTGTTTTCCATTATGTGTGTAATGTCCTTGTGTAACTGCCTACGTTTCAGCAAACAATGTCAATCACGGTGGCTTACTGTTAGCAGTATGCTGAGGGATGCAGGGAGGGAAATGGGCTGGGAAGAAGTGTTCACACAAGAGGTGACTGAGCTAAAGGCTCTGGGTGTGGTCTGGAGTGAGAGGGGACAGTGGCAGCCAAAACGGGATCGTGGCATGTATAAATGCGACGCCGGGCTTCTCCGAAATATGAATTAGGAGTTAGGGCTGCATTTCCTGCATCCATGCAAGATGGGGGAGGGTGGGAATGGGAGGGAAGATCATTATTATGTGAGTTTTAAAGAAAGAATTGAGCCAAAATAATGATAAACTGATTGCAGTAAGAACTGTTGAAATATGAGTTATTTCTAATTGAAGGAAAGAGAAAAATAAAGAAGAAAGGAGAGGAAGAGAAAGGGAGGAAGGGAAGAAAGAAAGAAAAACAATTTTTGCTAACTATTCCTATGCCATCCATGTATTTTGTTTCCTTAGAGTAGATCCTGGAGTGTGTCCCATATCTCCCAGGAATGGCTTTAAATAATGGATGGTGGAAGGGAACTTGGAAACAAAATGCACTTTTCAGGAATCATGAAAGGACCCTGGAAGTGACCTAAAACAGGAAGGTATGGGCTAGGGGAACCCAAGAATGTGAAGTGCTGGGTTCCATGGCTAAGGGTTCCTAACTGACCCACAGCCATCCTTGTGTTCTCCTAGGTGTTATTAAGCATTCGCAACTTATTACCCATCCATGTATGTTTGTACATCACGCATCACTTAACTACGGGGCTACATTCTGAGAAATGTGTCATTGGGCCGTTTCATTGTAGTGCAAACATCATACTTACACTTACACAAACCTGGATGGTATCGCCAACTGCACACCTAGGCTATATTTTATAGCCATTATAATCATATGGGACCACTGTCATATATGCAGTCCATTATGTGGTGAATGACTATATTTTAAAAGAGAGCACATGGAGTAGTAATATTTAAGCCAAAAGAATGACCAAGAAAAACTAGCAGCCATGCAATTTAGTGTGTACTTGATACTTCCACTCAAACCATTTTTTTAAAAAATCTGATACTCGTGACAACCCTGTGAGGACAGATAGTATCACTCCCTCATCTACAGAAGGGCAGATGGAGGCTCAAATCTAGAAGGTGATGCATTTGGCAAGTGGAGGAGCCAAGTTCTAAACTCAAAACTTCATCGTCTTCAGTCAGCTTTACCCTGCACAACTGAGTAGTTGCAGAGTCTGTGGCAACTGGGTAGATAAATCTTTTATTGTGTGCAAGAGTTGTGCTGTCTCTTTTCAGGGTCTCCTTATCTCATGCATTTTGCTCAGCTCTAGCCAATTGTTCCCATGCAGGAACGTGTGCCCAGGTCTTCCAATTTTTCAAGAGACGCCAGACATTTATGCTTGTTCATTGTCTGATATTTTAATGTTGCTTCATTGAAAAGGAAAAGAAATCAAAGCATTGTGCAAACTAAATACACTGGCCACAA